CTTCAGAAAGAATTCAGCAACCTCTTAGACACCTCTTTACACCTTATACAACTAAAGCCAACTTTGTTTTGCAATAACTTTGACAAATTTTTGACACAAAAATACTCTTTGAAATGCATCTTAACTTCTCAATTAACGTACATTAAACACATCAATGTATGTAGGATAAATGACCGAAATAATTTTAAAAGATCAATTTCAAAAAGACCCTTTTCTCTCACCATGAAAACCTGTGAAAATGTCAAGACATTTTTAAGACATTAAAAGGAAAAATGAATAGAATTTAACGTTTTATAACATTCACATTAATATTAAAAGTAAAGCCTTTAAAAGTAGATTTGAAGATAAATTTGTTGACACTCAACAAGTCAATTTTAAGATCATCTATTTAAAATCCATTTCCCATTATCCCATGTTTCCTGAATAAATAGATAAAAGTTTGATCCTTTCTCTGCGTTTAATCGTCTTACAATGGGCCAATGACTGGAAAATAAAACAAACTACATACCAACAAAATCAAACTTTTTTTTTCTCTCACTGCTTTTCCAGTTTCAACAGCTCTGCTCTCTTTTTGCTCTCTAAATCACTTTGTAATTAATTCACTCAAGATATTTGACAAGTTACTTATAACACCTCTGCAGACTAAAGTCCTTTGAAAACATCCAAAAGGAAACTTTTTTCTGAGCAAATGTATGCTGTATAGAGGATTTATCCATTGATCAGTCTGTTTTCCTTTTAAATGAACCAAGCATGTATCGAAGGTATAGACACATCTAACCATAACCGGGCACCCATGGTCATGTGACTCTCCATTTCACACAATGGTTTCCCTCTCGGATCAATTCACTCTCGTTGTTCCAAAGCATACTTTGTTTCCAAAGGTCTTCTAATTAGCATGCCATTCTCTGGTGTGTGTGCTTTTTTGCCTAACACCGAAACTTTTGTGTTGCGACCCCATTGTTTAAACAGTGGAATAACAATGAAAAAGAAAAGAATGTCTTGTTAGACCTATCTTTTTTTTCAAAGCCTTATTGCCTGGAGATGACAACTTTAAATTCTAATTTTACACAACATTTATTTGGAGAAGTGACTGTCGCTAGCCTTATAGAATTCCGGCACATCGTGTCTATTTACTTTGTACATAAAAGACAATACACACCTGCAAGCCCAGGTATATCAGCTAGAAATGCTGAACAAATATGTTCCAATTTTTCCAACTACAGGACAATAAATATCAACACCAATTCAGACCTTGCAGTTTCAATACTTTTTTCATCCAACAAACTATCAAGTAAAATTATTCTTGTAGAACTGAAAGGAATTTCAAGACTGCAAACAAGGGCAGCTTTATCTACCATCAAACATTGCATGACCCATAAAATGCAAGAGATCTCCTTTGGTCCATTCAGTTCTCTCTATTTAAGTTTGAATCATATGCTGATGACACAAGAAGAAAGTTGAGGGATGTTCTTTACACAATATAAACCCTTCAGGTTGTATGTCATGTCACTTACATCTGAATGTTATTAAAGATATCTTGAAGAGCCATCAGGTTAAGCCAAGAATTATTTCTTGCATCTCTGTAGCACCAATGATTATGAATTAATTGGCCAACAATTTCATGGACAGAGTCAAATGGACACATTTCTTTGCTTTCAATCCCTGATCTTGACCTTGATCAAATGACCAAAGGTCAAGGTCAGGGTATAGCTTCAGGAATAAAGCGCTACCTTTGTGCCAAACACAACCTTATTATGAGACAGATTTTCAGGGGGAAAGGACATATCATGTATACTCTAAATCTGTGTCTTGGCCTTGACATAATTTATAGGTCTATGTTGGTAAAATAGACATGGAGAGACAATATTTGAACAAAGGATTCTATTACAACTGCCTTTCTCACGACTTGCTACAATAACCTTTGCATGATCTACAGCAATAGTCCAACTGGTTTCTATTTCAGCTTTATTCAATGCAATCCAACAAAACACAATGGCATTCTTTTGTAGGTCTGTAAACTTCCAGTAAATGACTACAAAATTGACTTTCCAGACAGACATATTGTGCTATATGTAGGCCAATGAGTTTCATCATTAGAAATGATTCCACTTAATTTCACACATTAACTTGTGTTTGATGGCAGTGCTTAAATTAGCATTTGATTGTCTGCATTTTTAGAAATCAAGAGACAAGGAATTCACATAAAAGAACTATACATGCTGACTTAAATATGAACAGTTTTGGGGTACTTAATTTTTCCACGATAATGCTTTGAATATGATAAAAATTACACTCCCAATTCAACTATATAATTGTCAGTGACTTTATTCTGTCAAAGTCCATTTAAAAATATTTTCTAGACTATGTTAATTGATCAAATGTAAATTTGTAAATCATTTCCATGGTAATTTTTTTAATAGTAATTTTCCACACATCTTATGGACACAGAAACAATTCATCAATTATAAAAATGGATTTTCTTTTTTTATCGAAATCAAGTCTGCACATAGCTATTCTCTCATGTTATTGGTTTATTTGAATTAAATGTGGTATTACTTTATATAATTTTTTTTTGCATAATATGATGGTCCTATAAATATCTTGAGAATTATTGTTGACATGTTGCACTATAAATTGTTAATGCATACTGTCTTTCATTTTCATTCATCAAAAACTGCATATGTTGCCTTTTTTTTTTAAATTATAAATTATGAAAAAATTTATATTACTGTAGAAGTACTTAGTTCCGCGTGGTATAAATTTACGCTATGTCCGCGGACACAAACTTTCCGCGGAAATATGTTTAGCGTACTTAATATAAATATGGCATATAGTGACAGTCTAAGAAATCCGCTTAATTTTCTACCCGCGGATTAAACAGGTTTTTTTCAGTATTTCTACTCACAAAGGTTTTTTACTTTAAATTTTTTTTTTAAATACTCATATGGAAACAAAAAATTTGATATAAACTTTAATTTCATAACTAATCCCATCTAATGTTCAGTTCTGTAATACAATTTTGAGAAGGCATGCATTGACATCCCGGCGCCCCTTTATAAATTGTGCTCCCCTACTTAGAGAAAATTACTCCCCAATGTTAAAAAGAAATCAACTCCGGATTCTTTTGTCAACTTGTAGGCTGCCATTTAATGGCATTTTCTGCATCAAAATGGCATGAAAAATATACAGCAGGCAAACTTTATTAAGTCTCAGTTTAATATATCTCAATACCTTCCCCTCCCACCAACAAATAATATTTAAGCTACAAAGATTAACTTTTTCAAATAAAAGTATCAGTGGGCTAATGCATTTTCTTGACACATCAAAAAAAAGTTGCAAGGGTCAACTTAATTTAACTGTCATTATTAATATCAATACGGCAATCTTTCTCTGGTCAAAATTGGATCCGGAAACTTAGACAACTTTTCCCCCACCCAAGAATTTGTTTTTATATTTTCCATCGGTGGGATCAAATGAAATCTATCATGATTTCATGGAATTTTGAACTTTCTATTAAATGGAGGTCTCCACGGATTTGACATTATCTCTTTCCACAACGTTTGACCCAATGTTGATATTCGGAGCAATGCTGGTTCAATATTAGTTTTAAAAGACAATGTCGGTCAAAAAAATTTCCGTGCTCAACCCATGGAGACAAAGTCTTTCTCAAAACACAAAGATCTACAATGGGTTAGCATGACAAATATTTATACCGACCAAGCAATTAGCACCAACAAAGAGTCAAAATAAAGTTATAAGCCTTTCTTATTATGAGTCCCAACAAATCCATTAATAATTCACAACCTTACAGGCTTTTGGCCGATTACCTATAATGAGATAATTTTTCCTATGAATATATACATACACCTCTCAAGAAAACTGAGTGAAAATTGATTTGAAAACATGCCTTTTCCTAAAGTAGTTCAATTGAAAGGAAATCAATAATATGCATCCCTTGGTTTCAATAAAACTTCAATGTTTGCAAAGTTACAAAGACAAACTTTCTTAAAACTGATTAATGAATATATAAAGAACAAAATACATACAGGAGACAAAAGAAAAAAATAAAAAGCCAACATTTAACATAATCTAAAGTAACTCATTCAAATAAACAATTAAACCATACTGTCAATATGAAACTTGTTATGTAACTTAATTAATTAGATACAAGTAATAGGAGCAGAGACTTATGACATATCAAATGTTCCTTTACCGTAATTATTCCTATAAAGAAATGAAAAAATAAAACATCTGGTGATTCTTTTTTTTAAAAGTTCACAGAAGACAATTAGCACCAACAATTAATTCCCCAGAAATATTTATGGCAATAGCAATCTAACCATGAATGAAAATAAGACAGACATAAAATTATCATGGTCCGCCATAGTCCTCAAAGATAATCCATCAAGAGTTATCCTTCTTGGACACAACACTAAGAGAACTGGTAACTGACATAATCATATTCAAAGTCCTCCAAATAACTAAACTGCAAATTATTCTACCTCGTATAAGGGTGAAAAATTTTATTCACACACATGTTGCATTTTGTTCACTGAATCCATTTAATAATATATGACTGTACTTATTTTGTTGTACAATTAAATTTGAAATCTTATGTTTAAATGAACAAATTTCATCTGTTTATAATACTCATAGAACACAAATGAAGAATTTACAAGGAAAATGAAAAATGCAAAAAAAAAAAAAAAAAAAAAAAATTGATTCAATATATAGATATGTTGTAATGTCAGTGGATAAAACATTTTACTTGTTTGCACAAAGGAAGACAACTCTTGTAACACACCAAGAATGTAATAAAAAAATTTTTTAAGTGAAAATAAGTACATTATACTTACCTTTTTAAACCAACCTTAAAATGCCAGAGGCACACCTGTCCTTCAAAGCTCTATCCACTTACCTTTGTATCTTTGAAATTAAACTTAAATCAGGCATCAAAACAAAGTTACATAAATACAATTACTACAAGTACTGAGACTTACTGTGAGCCGAGGTAAACAGGGGTTCTTCAGGGATGTCAGTAAACCACTTAAACCTGGGGGTAGGAAACAGGGGGCCCCACTCCCCGGGCCAGAAGGGACCATGCTGGTCTCTCACCACACCAAATCTGTCTTTATATGCACCATTTTCATTACAGTCAAATTTAGAACCATCCGGAAAATGTCCCGAATCCAAAGCGGCAAGAAAGCCATCTTTGGTATAGAACTGTCTGTGAATTTGTTTTAAGGAAGGATATTTTTCTAAACTGTTCCTGTCTTTGATTCCTTCAGAAAAAGTCTGTAGACCAAACACTCCAGGGAATTCGTCCTGATTAGACTTGGAGAGTTTGTCCTTGAAGATGACGTCGATGGTGGAGGTGGGGGCGGGAGTCAGGGTGTAGTTCATCCTCATCAGATGTTGCATCTGCTTCTTGGCCTGTAGAGCTCGCCACTTCCGGGCCTTCAGATACGCATGGTTCTTGTCGTTGAGTTCGAAGAGAAGATGGGAGTTGAGTTTTTCGAGATTGCTGCGAGCAGTTTGTTGTTGTTGTTGATTGGACAGACGCTGACGCTCCGCTCGTTCCAGTGGAGGTGTCTCTAATGCTTCTCGCACACGAGCATTGAGCTCATCTTCCATGCGCTTCCGAATTTCCTCCTTCCATACTGTTTCATCTCCTCCTAAAAATGTCAAAAACAAAAAGTCAGTTTATGAGACTTATTAATCAAGGTGTAAAATTCAGAATCAATATCTAACCAGGGAAATATCCAAATTAATCAAACACTTCATTTTCTGAAATTATTGATGAAACTTAATTTATGACCTTTATACTTATGTACATGACCAAGTGATCTAACTGTATGCTGAAGTTTTCATCTGCACATAATATAATCAATTTATATAAAGCATTCACTACATCACTGCATGAACATGACTGCTCTAAGTAGAAACACAATGTTATAAGGTGTCTTCACAGGACCAATCCTTCAACTGCCCATTAGCATGTTTTGAACCATTTTACATTTTTCCATTTATACGAAATTACAGGCATTGTTAAGAAATTGATTTGCATTCTGTTAGGAGATTTGCAATGATGCAGCATTTCTAGATGCAGCATCCATTTTACATTTTTTCTTTCACCCAGATGTGTTTGTGAGACACAGTAGCACCTGGCGGCAACATTAGAAGTTCTAAAAAGCAATTTTTAGCAAATTTTTCAAGGTCACACAATCATTGTTCTTGGTGTCATTTGAAAGCACTTTATCGAGAGAGAGAGAGAGAGAGAGAGAGAGAGAGAGAGAGAGAGAAATATTAAGTCTCTATCATCTATGGTTCAAAAGTTATGGCGAAAATTCGAAAAAAGCTATATTTAGCACATAGGTCACAATCAAGGTCACAAGGTCATTGATCTTGGTGTCAATTGAAGGTGCCTAATTAGTGGAGTATGCATACCAAATATGAAGTCTCTATCTCTCACGGTTTTAAAGTTATGGCGAAAGTTCGAAAAAGCTATTTTTAGCATAAAGGTCACAGTCAAGGTCACTAACCTTGGTATCAGTTGAAAGTGCCTAATTAGTGGAGTATGCATACCAAATATGAAGTCTCTATCTCTCACCGTTCAGAAGTTATGGCGAAAGTTCCAAAAAGCTATTTTTAGCATAAAGGTCACAGTCATGGTCACAAGGTCATTGACCTTGGTGTCAGTTGAAAGTGCCTAATTAGTGGAGTATGCATACCAAATATGAAGTCTCTATCTCTCACAGTTCAGAAGTTATGGCGAAAGTTCAAAAAAGCTATTTTTAGCATAAAGGTCACAATCAGGTCATAAGGTCATTGACCTTGGTGTCAGTTGAAAGTGTTTTTGTATTGGAGTATCCATACCAAATATGAAGTCTCTAAGTCTCACAGTTCAAAAGTTATTGCGAAGGTTAAAGTTGACAACAGACAAACAAACAGACAGACATACAGCTAAACAGACAGACAGGACAAAAACAATATGCAACGTCATAAAAAATTTGGGTGCATAAAAACTGTCTTGGAGTTAACAGCAGTTCTCTGTTTCTCCTGAATGTTATGTACAATTTGTTTTCACGTCAAGGAATGTTTCAAAAAGTCGGGCTCAAGTGATCAATTAATTTAAACAACAGACCGCCAAAATTTAACCTTGGCCTCCGTGTTGCAACGTCTGCTCTGTCTAAATAAAATAAACAAATTATTGCTGTATCAACCAAAAGATGCAGATACACGTATTTCATATGCGGTAGGTCAGTCATATTTTTTTTAACATGTGTGTCACCGTGATGATGAAAATAAATACTCTAGGACTGAGCTACCAGGCTACGTACGTTTCAGCCAATATGCCCATGATTCAAATCTTTCAATCAGCTCATAGAATTTTATTATGGTTAACCACAATTAAGGATATACGATCCTCAGCCAGGAAGGATAACTCTTTAATTTATAATTTAATTCAAAAAGTATTAAAATAAGGCTTGAAATTGAAATTTTTTCATGCAACAATTTTCATTTTATTGTGATTCAATGCTCTTTAAAGTTTTAACAAACGTTATTTAAAAAGTTGACATTTGTACCTCATAAAATGAAGTAGAACTTGCATATTTAAAAAAAAATCAAATTTCTTTTAATTTAGCCTTAGTTACCAATGTTTATATGCATTATTTGAAATTAGAAGTGATTTACAGTGTTTTCTTTGAAAGGAAACACTTCATACACTATGCATTATGAAACAATGGAATTTATATAGAAAGTAAAGTCCAAATAATTGAAAATTCATGCAATTTTCTTTAAAAGCCTGGATACCTATAATTTTTATTCCTAAAATGTATTTATTGATCAATTATCAATTAAACAATATGCAGTAGGTAGTTCAAATCGCATTTCCTGAAAAATTATTCGAGATTTACTAATTTTCCCTATATAATATGATTAAATTTGAAGATGAATTTTAAAGAAACACCGTGGGTAAATACATTTTAATTTGAGAATTTAGAGACATCTTTGTGAGCATTTTCAATTACTCAATGCCTGATTTTCAGAACCTGAGGATCGGATAACCTTAAAGGTGTTAATTTTGGGGAGCCATGGGGTGTAATCTCTAGCAATGATTTACCATACATTTTTTTTTTGGGTAGTGTCTGTGCAAAGGAGATTTTGAAAAAGAATAAGTGCTTATTCAACAAGTAATAGCTTGGTCCATGGATGGTTATGTTTAAGGTATATATATTCTTTTCATTTCTTTTTTTATTGCTTGTTTAATTAAAAACAGTCAACTATGATTGTCATTATTATAAATAATATTTTAAACAAATTGATATTAAATTGAAGAACCCAAAATTGTGTTTATAAAAAGATTTTAAAAGGAATATAAAGCAATGAATTTAAATTTTATTAATATTGCACCATTATAATTTAAGTACTTTTTTTTAATTGATAGGATTTTTCCACCGCAAGTGCTGCTGCAAGAAATTAAACATGCAGAGACCTTACAAATTACAAAGAAGTCTGAAGAAAATTTTTATTGGACAGATGGGTGTAAAGCACAGACCTGAGATCAGACCTGCCAAGTGACCCGCATTCGGTGGGTTACACCCGCAAAATTGACCTCTCACCCCCCACTCATAATGACCCGCGGTGTGTCATTGTTTTCACCCGCAAAATCGATCATCCCAATTTTTTGACCTAATATTAATTAAGCATGTTTGTCAACAAAAAAATTCTGAAAATTCATCCTAAAATTTCCGATTTGTGTTTTATAAATCAGGATATGAACATCTTGTTTATTCAATGCACACAGATTAGTATCTTTGTTTGCCGAGGTGTTAAAAAACTGTTAATTAGCCACAGGAAATCACTTCACGCTTGATCGCAGACTGACACAGCTGTACAGTGTACCGGTAATATGCCTGGAGCATTTAGGGGATTATACGTAACCATTTGAAGGGGTATATGCATGGTGAGCCACATAGATTTAAAGGTTAATTAAATATCATTTTATTAAAAACAGAAATTAATTAATTAAATACAATGATATGATAAACATAAAAATCTTTTTTTAAGAAACGAAAGTAAAAAACGAAACTACAAAGCATAACTGATATAGCTGATTTTATCAGCTCTCATATATTGAAATTATTGTTAAGTGTAGTGGTTAAAAGAAAATGATATTAAGATAAAGCAAAAGAGTCTAAAAATGAAGTATATTGAATTTCTCTCCCCCCCCCCCCCCCCCCAAAAATGTAGTATTATACGTTGTGTTTCTTTGTTAAATGGCTATGACAAGCCTGAAGGAAATACCCACTTGTCAGTCACATCATGACTCTAACGATTTTAAGTTTTTGTTTGGGGGTGTTAGGTATCTTTCATTATTTATTTTGTAGTATTTGATATATAATTTATTTTTTGTGTGTTTTAAAATTAATAATAGAAAATTAGATGGCACATATTTCTTACCACCACCCCCTGCAGCAGCAATTTTTCAATATTAATCTTTCAATGTAATGTCAAATTACAATTTTCTGATTGTGTAATATGTTGAAAATTAATCATTGTAGAATCTAACAAATGTTTCCCTGAAACTTTTTAAATTTTTAAAACTTTGCAAAAATTCTATTGAACTAAAAGTATCTGAATCTTACTATTTAAAAGTGTTCTTATACAAGCAATTTTAGGTAACCTGTCCTAAGTAAAAATTAAGTCTGCAATAAAATATAACATATATATACATGCATGTGTTTGACTGCTTGCATTGATGCCTAAGAATTAGGAAGCATTTTGTTACTCCAGTTAACCAAGAAAATGTCGCCGCGCGTATATAACATTTCAATTCTGAAATTCATATCAATCCAGCATCAATTTTTTTCTGTGACATATAAATTGAATTGTGAGAAATATGAATCAGGGATTTGGCAAATGTGATCCAGATTGATAAAAAATGTCTAAATTTTTTTCTTGTTTTGTAAATATTCAATGCTATGTCAATTGTTATTTTTTCCCCAATACCTAATAGTGTTGAACATTTCACTCCCACTTTTGCTTAAATAGAATGAATAAATTTCCATTTATTTAATATGAATATTAAAAAATGCCACATTTTTTCCATGATGAACTTGTGGCTTAAATAAGAGTTGCATATTTGGTCAGAGACCAGAAGAGCTTATGCGAACGTAAGGTGTACATCGTCCGTCCGTCTGACTTTCCGCTAACTGTAAACAATTTTTTGAACGCTACTCCTCCTACAGTTTTGGTTGATTTTAATATAACTTGGCACACAAGTAGACTACACTAAGATACATAAAATAGTGCATCGGTTTTTGATTTCGATGAACGATGTTGCCATGGTTACTAAAAATAGAATTTTCTTTGAAATTCCTTTAAAATGCTACTCCTCCTACAGTTTTGGTCTGATTTTAATATTACTTGGCACACAAGTAGACTACACTAAGATACATAAAATAGTGCATCGGTTTTTGATTTTGATGAATGATGTTGCCATGGTTACTAAAAATAGAATTTTCTGAGAAATTCCTTTGAAATGCTACTCCTCCTACAGTTTTGGTCTGATTTCAATATAACTTGGCACACAAGTAGACTACACTTAGATACATAAAATAGTGCATCGGTTTTTGATTTCGATGAACGGTGTTGCCATTGTTACTAAAAA